TTAAGTTCCATTTTATATTTGTTCTATTTGATTTATTAAATTTGCTCGTCAGTAGAATCCTTTTTCATATTTATTTCATTTATTTTACTCGTTAGTAGAATTCTTTTTTATCTAAATTTATTTAAGCAAAATCTCTTTATTATAATTATTATTTAATTTGCTTGTCAGTAGAATCCTTTCTCATAATCATTAAAATTATTTTGCTCGTCAGCAGAGACTCTATTTATCGAAATTTATTTAATTTGGTTGTCTGTAGAAGCTATTTATATCTAAATTTATTTAGTTTGGTCTTTAGTAGAGTCTTTTTCATCTAAATTTATTCAATTTGCTTGTCAGTAGAGTCCCTTTTCATATTTATTTATTTAGTTTGCTCGTCAGTAGAGTTTTTTCATCTAAATTTATTCAGTTTTCTAGTCAGTAGAATCACTTTATCGTGATTTAATTTGCATATTGATTCCATTTAAAATTAGTTTGGTCGTTAGTAGAGTTCTTTTCTATCTAAATTTATTTTGTTTGCTCGTCAGTTTAATTCTTTTTCATGTAAATTTATTCAATTTGCTCGTCAATAGAGTCCCTTTTTATCTAAATTTATTTAATTTTTTGGTCAGTAAAATCGCTTCAACGTGATTTCATTTGCTCGTTAAAGCCCCTTTTTATTTAGTTTGCTCGTCAGTAGAGTCCTTTCACAGTGTTTTGTTTTCTTAAAATTTATAACTATCAAAATAATTGGAATTTCTAAAATTTTAATGTTCCGAAAATTAACTAAGATTTTTATTATTGTCTATAACCTAAGTTGGATATAAATGCATGCGGTAAGCTAATAAAATTTAAAATCGGTTTAGTAGTTTAGGAATACGTTTTCTCCCTCTCTCTCTTTAATACAAATCTTATTTTTCTTATTGCTCTAGGCAATTGCAATAATTTTCCCAATCAGAAACCCCATTAAATATCAATATACATTTCCATCAATTTATATAAATGGGATCGTGAACGTAATCGCCTCCGTAGCCTCCAAGTGGGCGATCGTTTAACTCGAATCGAAGTTCCCGATACGGCCGATTAAAGTTCGATTTGTAGCCCCGAGCTTTTTTCGATGTAAAGCTCGGGGAGAGCTTTCTCTCGGATGACGACACTTCACATAACGTCACAGATCACAGATCACAGATCACCGTACATGAAACATGAACTATGGAACAGGAGTCAAGGCTCTGTGCAAGTGAAGAGGCACTCAAATGATACAGGCACTGAAACACATAGAAAATTTTCACATTTGAGACTAAAATTTATCTTTTAATCATTCCTAGCAATTAGTTTTAGTTTTTTTTATTTCCCGCGGGGTAAGTTATTGTAATTGTCCAAAAATCAAAAATTAAAATTTCTGCATATTTTTAAGTTTCAGCGTTTTCTGAACATTTTATCATACCTTAATTAGAAAAAAATTATGTATGTGTGTGTGTGCGGTTACAAATTTTCATCAATGGTTTCAGGAACACCGCTCAACCGATTTAAATGATTGAGCTGCGCTGACAGTGTGAAGAAACTATTAGTTTTTGTGTAATACAAAAAAAACTTCTATTCAAAATTTTAAAAGTATTTTTTTTAATTACCTTTTTTTTTTAATTTTGAAAATGATTCGGATTTTAATTATAATTCTAGGTAGAGATCACTTATATACTTCTAATAAATAATTTTAACTTATCAATCTGTGAATTATGACATAAGGTCCTCCATTCTAGCCGCCCTTGATTATGTTTCGAAGATACGGAGCAAAAACTGCAAAAATTGGCAATTTAGTTTTTAGGCGTCCGATTTGAATGATTCAAAAAACAGTTTACATGACAAAATGAAAAACTGATTAAGTTTTTGGAAAGGCAGGTTTAGCAGTTTTGGAGATATGGTGAAAAAAGTAAAAAAAAGCCATTTGGCGGTCAAAATTGATCGTTAGACATATGCACATCAAATTATCAGATATTTTAGTAATAAATAGAAATATTTTTTAAATTTCTATGAGTCTCGTACCAATGTTTATTCGTTAGAATGCCACGTGGCGCTTACGCGCTTCTATATTTCAACTCTAAAACAGACGAGGTACTATTACTTTGAAAGTGTTCAAAATTTAAAGAAAAATTAAATGTAAATAAATAATTATAAGTCTTTGAAAAAAGCCGATTTTTTAAAAAACTTTAATATTCTCAAATTCTTCAATATATTATTTAAATTTTCAGAAAATTTTAAAGTTTTTTAAAAAATTTAAATTTTCGGTGCGGAAAATTTGGCTCAAAATATAATACAACTTACAACTAGTTTATAATAAATTTATATGAGAAACTTTGTCAAAGCAAACTGAAAAATCAAATATACAATATCTTTCACCCCTTTGTCTTCGAAAATAAAAAGAAGACCAAAAAAGAAACCCTTTGACAATCTTTTCCCGGAAAATCGCATATCATAGTAATAAACGTACGCGCTCACATCGCACATCTTACACTTGACAGTCATAAAGAAACAATGTTCTTTATCCTATACTTGTATATATAATATTGTGTCCTTGTATCTTGTTTCCTGACTCCTTATTCTTTATATCCTTGCTGAGCTGGTGCCTGGTGTTATCCTTTGTCTCTCCAGTCCCATATAATTTATATCACGAAAACTCTGTTTTATATCTCGTGTTTTGCAAATTCATCAATTTATATTCATCGACACAAGCACCGGAGTCGACGCGCGCCTTTCCTTCCCTCGGGCGTTTAGCGTTATATTATACATGACAGAGGGATGATATTTTAAAATATTAAAATATTCAAAATAAAAGTTGTGCTTTTAGCAGTAGATGGGTTGCAGAGTAAACATATTTACTGATAAGATATATTAGCATGTTAGTATAAAGCAAACTTGTGTGGTGCATGGTTCAAGGCAAATTGCTGGAACTTTCCATATTGTAATAAAAATTGATCAATGATTGATAACAATAATAACAATAATGAGTAATATTGTAAATTTATCATTCCTATTTTATAGATCTAATATAAGTGCTCATATTTGGGCGACGGCCTGTATATATGTTTGCAGAAACGAAAAAACATAATAAACAAAACCTAATTGGAATGCATTCCTACTCTGAATGCTACCGAGGTACTTATCTCATATTTCTTATTTTTATTATATAAACATTTTGAAAATATTAATTTTGACTATATAAGGGCTATATATATAATATATATAATAAACTTTAGGATTTTTAAAAATTTAGAAAAACTTTTTGAGAAATTTATATATTTTTTTAATATTAGTTTTTGGTAAAAGTAGGTCCAGCCGTTTCGGCAATACTGACTAAAAAATTGAAAAAATGGCCATGCAGGTTTATAGAATGATTCAAAAAACCTATATATTTATATTACTTAAAAATTATTTTTTTTATATTATAATCATTTTTGATTTTTTTAACGATTTTTTGAATTATTCTTTATGACCATTTTTCAACTTTTTGGCTTGTATCACCGAAACGGCTGGACCTGCCTGTGCCAAAAACTAATTAGCACGTCTCCTCATGAATACGAATCGAATGTTTTTTGAATCATTCCAATCGGTTGAAATCGTCGGGGGAAAACTGTATCCGGACATACACATACCCACACATACAGATACACAGAGAGAAAATTCTAGTATTCTAGATCCTCCCCCCATGAAGTATTTTTTTGCATTTAGATGACAACCGAATGATTATCTTATCTATTGAATATTAGAAGGAAACCCAATGGTGATCCTTAATATTTCACATTTAGATGACTACCCATACACACATAAAGATACCCAATGATTATCTTATCTATTGAATATTAGAAGGAAACCCAATGGTTATCCTTGAATGATATTAGAAAGCAACACAATGGTTATCTTATTTAATTTATATCAGAAGGCAACACTATGGTTGTCGTTTCTAATACCGATGATTTATTTTAAAAATAAAAATGAATTAAATTAATACAATATATAAAGATGAGTCAAGCAAAAACCCTAGTTCCAAATTATGAGTTGATATTAACTTCTATTAAATTTATTTTGACCTATTATAAATTTATTATTATTTATAATATTTAATACTAAAAATTCACAGTCGTTTAAAACAAAAAAATATGACTATTACATGAAAGACTTGCAAGAAAATTAATATACACAATATTACTCTTTAAACTTTTACTCTTTTTAATTACTCCTATTTATTTGCAGAATATTTATGCATTTATTGCGTAGGTATATTATTTCAATGCAAAAATTTGAAGTATTTATAGATTAACAATCGATTGCGCATGTTAACAAGTTTTTTCTAACAAAAAAAGCAAATGAGCAAAAAATTCTTACGTCAATACGTCGTAATCGATGACGACTATAATGTAGAAGATTTATATATATATATATATATATATATATATATATAGGGTGGTCCTTAATATGGACATTTGTGAATTTCCTTGCTCCCAAAGGCTCAAATGGTTCCAAATTGATAAAAAACAATTCTCTGAAAGTTTTTGCTCTTAATATTCTCTTTTAGATAGAGCGCAATTTCATCAAAGTTTTGTATGGAAATAGCATGAAAAAATTTTCAAAAATTTTGCAGACCGTCGAATTTTCAATAAAAATGACACGAATTTTCACTTTTAATTCATTTGTCGCTAAGTCATATCAAAAATTTTTTTTTTAATTTTCAACAAATTTTCATGCTATTTTCATACAATTCTTTGATTAAATTGCGCTCTATCTAAAATACAATTGAAAAGCCAAAAACTAAGAAAATTTCACAATGTAAAGTCATGGAAAAAGAAATTCAACCCAAAAATCAGAATAGACCAAAATAGCTGTGTTAAAATAGTGAGCGTGTTCTACCATTGTAGAACAAAGAGGAAACAGGGTAGGTTACATATTGGGATGATTGACAATTTTTAAGGGAATCTTGAAGGTCAAAGTACAAAACATCAATCAATAGTTCAATCTCTATTTTCCTTTACTTAAGGCAAATAGTTATCAACCATAAACTTTCCAAGTTCTCGAACAACAATCATGGTCTCCATGCAGACGCTGATGATGTTTTCAGAAGGCAGCATGAATCCCTCATATCCATCACTTCTTGGAGGCATTTCCACTGTCATCGCCAACTCGATTCCTGCTGCACCCATTGCGAAGTCATCTCCAGCTCCTGCTGCAGCATACAGGAGCTCAGCAGAATTACCAGCCTGGGGAAAAATGGATAAAGATAAAGGTTTCACAAGATTTAACTGATTTGTTTATTACCTCATAAAGTGATCCAGTTTGCTCGTGAACTGCTTTCACAACGTTATCAGTTGCCATTTTTAATTTGTCAAGAGATGGTGGTTCTGGAGCAGTAAGAGAATAACCGTATGGATACAGAAGCCAGTAGCCGAAGGAGTGAAACGATAGATAAGCGACCCTGTTGGGGTTGGCTTTGGCTTCTGCTTTGATCAGGTTGCCCATGATTCGAGTCTCCGGTTCGGAGAATGGTTCACGACCTAAATAAATAATTGATAAGAATTAATTAGTGATGAAACTGGTGAAATAGTAGTAAAGGGGCATGACTACGTGTGGACTTTAAGGTAGATTGTATCAGATATAGATACAGGAATTTTGAGAAACTGCAGCAAATACTATCTGGAGTGTTTAGAATTTGGCTTGTTGCAAAAATTGAAAAGATGAAATAGGCTAACAAGATGTCAAATAAGGAACAACTGCTAAGAATTGGAGAGAGAAGAACTTAATCAACTGTAAACTAATCCAGATCTATATTGCAAGGATAGGAAGACTGAAAAAATTTACGATAAGGATGAATGGTGCTTAATAATGTCTTGAAAAGCAAATGTTTAGGAAATTAATTGAAAACCAAGGTACAAACTTGGATAAATTCAAGCAAAAGTTTAAAAAGTACAGGGTACAGCCGTTGAGGGTTCGACAAGGAATTGTTGAAGCACCAATAACATTTAGTAAATTAATTGATGGATAAAACAAACATTGATTAGCAATGTTTTTTTAAGTGAAACTTCTTTAGGCGCAACTAGGGTGTAAATCCGTACAAATGCAACGGAAGTCCGTTACGCCCGAACTGTTTGTCATTCGCTCTCGACGAGATCATTTCTCTATGGGTCGATTGTGATTTGCCGTCGTGTATGTAAATAGAGATCTGTCGTTGTATGCATACCGGCATCAACGTTGTATGCGTACCGAAATCAACAAGGAAATCGGTATAGATAAATAAATATTTCAAAGTCATATCGTAGTACAAATCTTGATTTAATAAAAAATGCCTGAATCAGAAGAATATTTTACCCTGTTCCTTGAAAATAATAAAACAAATTAAGCATTTGTGCCGTGTAATAAACGTAAGTTTATTGATTAGAAATTATTTCTATATTATTCGTAGTTTCTATTAATCTTTGAAGTTATTAAAATGAAAAATATTTTTGGGCAAGACAGATATTACAACTGTTCAAAGAATGAGATTATATCGCCAGGAAAAAAGTAAAAAAAATACAAACAGTCAATGAATGTATGTTAATTTTAATTACATGAAGTTCTTCAAACACAATTATTACCTTTGTCCTTTCTAATACTGATGATAAGTGAAGTTGCGAAAACAATATTTGTTTAGGCGTTGTTTAACATAATCCACTGTGTGAACGAATAATATAGAAGTTATTAATCAGCAATTACTTCATTTCTCTAATGAAAGGTCCAAGTCCTAAATGCTAATTACAATGACAAACCGATCATGTCACATTTGAAGTATGACTTTGATTACATTATTGTTTTTAAATATTATATATATATTTTTAATGCTATTATAAATTATAATTTATGATTTATCATTATATAAATGTGTATAATGGTTGACACTAATAAATGTGTGCATCGTGAGTGTTAGCATATTGCTAATAAACATTATTCAAAATTGTTATATGATGTATTTATTTTCACTTAAATGCCATCTTGTATAGTAGCAAATAAGTTTTACTTTAATCGCGTGTGAACCTTACGCGCACTCTTTTTTTTCAATCGTGTTCTGATCCAATAATTTAATTTTTCATATTACCTTTGAAGATTTCTGAGCAAGGATCATCAGAAGTTCCTTCATCTCCCCATTCAAAGTCGAAATTCCTATTTCCGTCAACTCCGACACAAGCAGAATTTACAGTATCAGGTTTTCGAGTTTTACGCCAGAGACGATCCTACATAATAAATAACACAAATATTAAATTAATTAATGGGGCAATTCTGCCTCTTGGTACTATGAAAATGTCTATCTATTTGCTGTGCGATCAGACATATTTTACATATAAGCAAGCAAGGAAGAATGTTATGATAACTACATCATCAAAAATTCTGTTATCATAACAGAGTTCTTCCTTGCTTATTTATATGCGAAATACGCCTGATCGGACAGCACATGAATAGACATTTTCACAGTTTCATTGCCATAACAACGCTATGTTATGAAGCAGAATTGCCTCATAATTAAGTAGGTTATGCATCGGAAAGTTCATGCAACTTACTTTAAGCCAAAGTGCTACTTACAACTTGTTTCTTTTTACCTTCGTGTGGGTGTATTCATATCCATCAGGATTCAACAATGGCACAATAAACCAGTCGATGTTCTTTAACAAGTCCAGATTTTGTCCTCTGTATACTGTCAACTGTTCTATCAGGTACATGCAGAAAGTAGGAGCAATCCATTCGCGTGCATGGATGCCACATTCGATGACCATCGTCACCTTTTCATCGAAATCTAGAAATTGAAAATAATAGTAAATGTAAATAATACATATAATAAAGTATTAAATACTTACATGATCCATCTGTGATTCGTACGGATTTGATGACTCGTTGCTCAAAACTTCTGCCCTCATCCTTAACAGTCACATATTTTGGATACATTTTGGCCAATGTTCTCAGATATGAGTTGATCTAGAAATTATAAAAAAATATTAAAATTGACATTTTTGCTAGAACAGAGATATATACGATTTTTCTTATACTTGCCGTTTCCGATCTCTGATAATCAAAGAAATTAAATCCACCGCCAACTTTATGAATTGGCTTTTGTCTACTTTTTTCAAAATTTTGTATAAGTCTACAAAATACAAACAAATAATTAATAACTATAATATAATTGAAGATTTTTTTTGACAGAACACTATTTTTTATGTCACACATGTATGACTGGCATGGCATTGTATTAATTTTTTGTGTACCAAATCGCATGTGCTACAAATATATGTCTGACATGATTTATGTATAACTTTACAGCGTCAGACACATAAGACTGACAGGGTGCTCAACATGTCAAAATAAAAATGATACTGTTACGTTGTAACATTTGATTCCAAATATGTCTAATACGGCTCATGTAGAACTTTTTAGTGTCAGACACATATGACTGACGTGTTAAATTTTAAATATTTGAGTATCCCTCACCTTTCTACATTATCCTCAGCAATTTTCCAAGTATAATTACTATCGATCAGATATCCTTCGAATTCCTCCTGAAGCTCAGGTGAGATCATAACCAGGCTAGTATGATTGAGCATCCTGGCTTCGGACCAGAAATCGACTCCTGGTTTTGCCTGCCATTCCATTAAATCGTGTGCTTCGGATTTTGTTTGGGGCCTTATTTCGTAAAGTTTGTAACTGAAATAAAAAAGATATTTGTAGAAATAGACTCCAGGCGTAATTTATTTAGGTAAGTCTTTTTTGCTTACCCATCATAAACGCGACCACCATTCGCTAAATTAAAAGCAACAAAAATTATTGTTGCTATTTTTAACATTTTTGAAATGACTGTGAATCGATGCAGAATTATAGAATTATTCTATCTACGTGAAATTTAAAATTTTAATTCATTTTGTTTAACGAGTGCAGAAATTGCAATACTTTATTTCTACTATTAAGTTTGTTATAATCGATTTTCGCAATATATATACAGTGACCTTGCAAGCCTAATTCGTTCCGTAATAATATCGAATTCCTCGTATCTCGAAGTAATTTTTTTCATAATTTAATTAATTCGTTCCAGCACAATGTTTTGTTGATGAAAATAAATGAAACTTTCTTTATTGCTCAGATCAGATATATATTCAGGAAAATACTTGGAAAGTGTTAATGAACTAGTGGTGTACGGCATCGTGCCTTAAGGAAATTGCTGGAACTTTCCGTACCGTAATAAAATATTCGAGAAATTTTGAATGTTTTCTAATAAATACTGTAACTTTCATTATTTTTGCTATATTGTTAAATCTGACTTAACACTGTGAGCAAATAAAATGCAAATTATAAATAATTTCATATCAAATTATTTATCAATTTCGAAAAATACTTGCCTATTTACTAATTTACACAAAATTGAAATAGTTTACTAACGTTTTTATCATCCTAAACATCCTACTAAACGTAATTGAACATCTTCTGTCAAAAACGTTTGACATTTGACGTATTAGCCACCGTCCATTGTTTTATTTAAATTACGATTATACAAAAATGTTCAAATTAAAAATGTGAAGTTTCTACGCGATTTTGAAATAATATCTCACCTTACCGACAATCTACTAACCTAAGACTGGCTAAATCGGTTTAGCCGTTTTTGAGTTTTAGCGGATCATTTTATCGAGAGCTCCATTTTTATATGTAATAATATATATATATATATATATATATATATATATATATCCAATTTATTTATAAATTTTAATATATTTATAAATTTAATGCCCAATTATTTTTTCGGCATAGGTATAATTTGTCATTTTATAGTATCAAATTTATATTAGATAAGTATTGGGATGATTGATCATTGATCAAAGAGGGAATTTCAAGGAATTGAAAACAAAAGCACACAACATCAAAACAATAATTTATTCTCTATCATTCTCCACTTAAACCAAATAGTTATCAACCAAAAAATTTCCAAGTTCTCGAACAACAATCATAGTCTCATTGCAAACGCTGATGATGCGTTCAGGAGGCAGCAGGAATCCTTCAGCTCCAGAAGCTCTTGGAGGCAATTCCACTGTCATCGCCAATTCAATTCCTGCTGCACCCATTGCAAAGTCATCAGCACCTCCTGCTGCAGCGTATAGGAGCTGGGCAGAATTACCAGCCTGGGAAAAAATTGGATAAAGTTAAAGGTTAAACTGACGTTGTTCATTATCTTTATCCTTACCTTATAAATTCCTCCAGTTTTCCTATGAACTGCTTTCACGACATTATTGGTAGCCCTTTTTAATTTGTGGGCAAATGGTGGTTCTGGAGCAGTAGGAGAATGTCCCCAAGGAAACAGGAGCCAGTAGCCGAATGAGTGGAATGTTAGATAACCGACTTTGTTAGGGTTGGCATTGGCTTCTGCTTTGATCAGGTTGCCCATGGTACGAGTCTCGGGTTCGGAGAATGGTTCACGACCTAAATAAATAATTGATAATAATTATTTAGTGAAGAAACTGGTGAAATAGTAGTAAAGGGGCATGACTACGTGTGGACTTTAAGGAAGATTGTATCAGGTATGATATATAGGGATTATAAGGAACTCCTGCAAATACTATCTGGAGTGTTTGGAACTTGGATTGTTGAAAAAATTTAAATTATGAACTATGAAATGGACCAACAAGATATCAAGCAAGGACCAACTGCACAGAATTAGAACTTTATTTAGTGAAATTGTGGAATAAAAATAGTAAACTGAACCACATCTATATTGCTAGAATAGGAAGACTAAAAAAATCTACGACGGGTATAAGATGTGCTTAATAACGTGTTGAGAGACAAAAGTTTAGAAAATTAATCAAAAGCCAAGGTACAGACTTGGATGAATTCAAGCAAAATTTTAAACTAGTGGTGTATGGCATCGTGCCTTAAGGCAAATTGCTGGTACCGTAATGAAATATTCGAGAAATTTTAAATGTTTTCAAATATATTATTTACAAACACTGTAACTTACATTATTTTTGCTATCTTGTTATATCTGAGCAAATCAAATTCTTAAATCAATTTATCAACTCCAGAACATTAACAATCGTCATTTCATTTCGAATTCAATTTCGAAAAATAGTTGCCTAATATACATAAAATTAAAAAAGTGCTCCCATATAGTCACAGTCTAAATGCATTTGCAAATAATTCTGTGCGACATTTTCACTTATACTGTGCTTAGATTGGCGGCATTTTTACATTTTTCAATAGTTTTCACAAAATTGGAAAATTGCTCCAGTATATAAACAGTCTAAACGCACTTGGGTAAACATTTTTACCAGAGTGTTGCTTAGACTGTGCTTAGCCTGGGTAATTTTTTGAATTTTTAATCCAAAATTACAAAAATATTTTATGGAAAATGAATAAAAGATGTAATAATTTTTTATCCTCAAAAGCAATTGTTTTGTTAATACAAGAAGAAAGTTTTTTGAATCATTCAAATCGGACGCTTAGTTCTCTCAACAACTGCTATTTTTTGCACATTCAGCTCTGTATCTTCGAAATGGCGAGACCTGTCTTTGCCAAAACCTAATCACCTCTTCTCCCAATCATTATAAATTGAATGTTTTTTAGATCATTCAAATCCGATACTCCTTTCTCTCAAAAACTTGATTTTCACATTTTTATCTATAACTATATATTTCACAAATAAAGAGTGATCCATAGAATTTTCTTATTACCTTTGAAGACATCTGAACAAGGATTATCAGAAGTTCCAGCACCTCCCCATTGATAAGCATAATTTCTGTTTCCATCAACTCCAACGCAAGCAGGATTTACAGTATCTGGTCTTCGAGTTTTACGCCAGAGACGTTCCTACAAAATAAATGATACAAATTTTAGACGAAAAAATTTAACTGCTTCGTGTAGAAAACTTCTTACTTTAAACTCTAACTTATATATGTCCACTTTTTATTATCCGAAATCACTGGGCCTGCCTTACATGAAAACTGAAGAAATTACTTTCCATGATAAAATATTTGTACAGTTTGTATTCTTCTGAATTGAGGAAGCTAACTTTCAATCACCTTCCAATAGGTGGATTAAGAATTTTCCATTACCCTAATAAGTTTTTGTTACTACTATTTTTTTACCTTCGTGTGGGTGTATTCGTATCCATCAGGATTCAACAATGGCACAATAAACCAGTCGATGTTCTTTAACAAGTCCAGATTTTGTCCTCTGTGCACTGTCAATTGTTCTATTAAGTACATGCAAAAAGTAGGAGCAATCCATTCACGTGCATGGACACCACAGTCGATCACCATTGTTACCTTGTTTTTGGAATCTGGAAATTGAAATTAGTAGTAAATAGAAAATTTTGAGAATTATTCAATATAGTACAAAATACTTACTTGATCCATCTGTAATTCGTACAGATTTGATGATTCGCTGTTCAAAACTTCTTCCTTCATCTTTAACAGTCACATATTTTGGATACGTTTTGGCCAATTTGTTTACATATAAGTTGATCTAGAAATTACGAAAAAAATATTGAAATTGACATTCTTTTATTCATACATAAAAGTGTTAATTAACTTCCCGTAGGGTAGTTACAGTAATGGGCCGAAAATCGAAAATGAAAATTTTGGCATTTCTCGACGTTTTGAAAGTTTCTGAACATTTTGGCATAGCTCAGATAAAATGGATGTGTGTGTGTGTTTTGTATGTCTGCATTTTTTCGTCCACTTTTTCGGGCTCACGGATCAACCGATTTGAATGGTTTAAAAAACATTCGATCAATATTGATTAGTTTTTGGCAAAGGCAGGTCCAGCCGTTACGCAGATACAGAGCAAAGAGTGCAGAAAATACAAATCGAGTTTTTGAGAGAACGGAGTATAGGATTTGAATGATCTAAAAAACATTCAATTTGAGAAGAGGTGATTAGTTTTTGTCAAAGACAGGTCCCGCCATTTCGAAGATACAGAGCTAAATGTGCAAAAATTGGCAGTTTTTGAGTGAACTAAGCGTCCGATTTGAATGATATAAAAAACTTTCTGCTTGTATTGACAAAACAATTGCTTTTGAGGATAAAAAATTATAACATCTTTTTTTATTGTCCATAAAATATTTTTGTAATTTTGCATTAAAAATTCAAAAAATTACCCAGGCTAAGCACAGCCTAAGCGCCACTCTGGTACAAAAGCGTTACCCAAGTGCGTTTAGACTGCTTATGCACTGTAGCACTTTTCCAATTTTGTGAAAACAATTGAAAAATGTGAAAATGCCGCCAAGCTAAGCACAGTATAAGTGAAATTGTCGCACAGAATTATTTGCAAATGCGTTTAGACTGTGACTATAAACTTTCAACTTTTTCAATTTTGTGTAAATTAGGCAAATATTTGTTTTTTGAAATTGAATTCGAAATGAAATGACGATTGTTAATGTTCTGGAGATGATAAATTGATTTATGATTTACATTTGATTTACTCAGATATAACAATAAGATAGCAAAAATAATAAAGGTTACAGTATTTGTAATTTGAAAACGTTTAAAATTTATCGAATATTTCATTACGGTACGGAAAGTTCCAGCAATTTGCCTTAAGACACGATGCCATACACCACTAGTTTAATAACTTTCTTGACTGACAACTCGAGAACCAACACAAAAAAATTAGAGTTCTGCACTTATAATAAGAACTATTTCATATCATATCAAATAAATTATTATCTCATCCGTGATATGACGTGAATGCAATTGAATAAAATAAAATTATAAATAAAAATTGCGATAATATAAGATTTTTTTATACTTGCCGTTTGCGATCTTTGATAATCATTGAAATTAAATCCATCGTCACGTGGAGCACTTGACTTTTTTCTGCTTCTTTCAAAATCTTGTAAAAGTCTACAAAAATAGAAACAATTAAATAAAAGACAAAAATTCACAATGGCCATGGTAACTTTATTAGATAATTTAGTTAAAAGGAAAAAAATTGCCAAAACATAATTTTTTGTGTTACACATATATGACTGACATGGTAATGCGTGTGCCACAAATATATGTCTGACATGATTTATGTAAAACTTTTCAGCGTCAGGCATATGTGACCGACACGGCGCTCGACGTGTTAAAATAAAATTGATACTTTTACGTTGTAACATTTGATTACAAATATGTCTAATACGACTGACGTGTTAAATTCTAAATATTTCAAAGTCCTCACCTCTCTATATTATCCTCAGCAACTTTCCAAGTATAATTACCATTGACCAGATATCCTTCGAATTCCTTCTGAAGTTCAGGTGAGATCATAACCTGGCTAGCCTGATTGAGCATCCTGGCTTCGGACCAGAAATCGACTCCTGGTTTTACCTGCCATTCCATTAAATCGTAAGCCTCGGATTTTGTTTGGGGTCTTACTTCATAAAGTTTGTAACTGAAATAAAAAAGATATTTGTAGAAACAGACTCCAGGGGTAATTTATTTTGGTGAGTCTATTTTTCTTACCCATCATAAACGCCACCAGACACAAAATTGAAAGCGATAAAAATTATTGTTGTTGCTTTTAGCATTTTGAAAATGTTTGTGGACGACTGGACAATAAGATGTGAATAAATGCAGTTATGTTGAGATTTTAGAGAACTAGACTTGTTCTATCTAGAAATATCTATATGGAACTTGAAACAAGTATGAGATAAGATAAAACCTTGCAATTAAAAAACTTAGTGCTTTTTGTACAACAAGTGCAGAGATTATCATACTACTTTAATATCGTTTAAGTTGATTATATCATATATGGGGAACTTGCTTTCAGACAATGCCACTTACACCTAGTCCAAAAATCATTATTTCAGCAACTATGTTTGAGTAACCCCTTGTTTCCTTGTTACATGCCATCTATTTCTCTATTACCATCAAATATGTAGAGTTCGATTAACAACTTAATTTATTAATTACGGCTTCACGGCTTTTGCCAAGAGATGAATTTTATGAAGCCGTTTGTATTCTCGGATGAGGTTCCGTACATTCATATTTATTGCGGTATCTTGGCTCGGATGGGACTTGTGTCTGCCTTGACATTGGCAACTTGCCAACACCCATAATCTGTTCTGACAATAACAGAAGTGTCTCGTTCAAGGCGAGGGAAGGATAACAAATAATATAGGTACATAAATATACATTTTGTGTGTATATATATATATATATATATATATATATATATATGTGTGTGTGTGTTATTTTCGAAACATCTACTATTTTAGGTTGTCTTTCGCATAATTTGATTTTTAATTTTCCAAAGCATTCAAATCGGTTTATCTGCGCTCTTAGAAATCGTCGACAAAAAATTCTATCCGGACATACATATAAGGTTGTCAAATATCTCCCTTCCGCCTTTTTGTATTATAAACCAAGAGCAAAAAAGCGGAAGGGAGATATTTGACAACCTAATAATAATACACACACATCTTCGGAAAGAAGAAGACTAGATAACTAGAAAATAAGTATAATTTCTGGAGCAGACTTATAGCATTCTAGATCCTCCTCCCACGAAGTAATGCCTAACAGCGGTTTCCGTGGGGACCAGAGGCAATAGAAAAGCAGAGGTTTTAGTCGGTATTATTCTCAGGCGGTATTGAGTCCGACATACCCAGACAAAAGACCTAGTCTGAGATACTTAAATGCATTTTCTTAGCTATAGAAAAAAACGCACAAATACGTCCGTTCTAGGGTATGCCAAAAATGTCGTTACCCTAGGGGGAGTCCATTGATTACGTGATCGATTTTTTAAGGATTTTTAGACCCCAAAATAAACCCCTTTTCCGACCAAATATCACGTGCATTTTTAATTACGAAAAAAATTGTAAAATTTTGGAATTTGTTTTGAAAATCTTAGGATTTTTTTTAAAAAAAATCAGGTAAATAACTAGTGGGGCGCATGGCATCATGCCTTAAGGCAAATTGCTGGAACTTCCCGTACCAAAAATTATTTTTTTTAAAGATTAACATTTTTGAAAAAAATTTACTTCTAAAAAATTACATTTTTGAGAAACTATAAATTTGACAAAAAATAACTTTATTTTGAAAAAAAAATATTTTTTTGAAAAAGAAAATGTTTTTTTTAATTTTGACATATTTTGGAAATTCAGAACTTTTTTTTAAAGCAATCGTTAACTGCATAGAGATGAAATGTCAAAGCGCGTAAGCGCCGCGTCGCCTTCTAACGGATAAACATTGGTAGGACGGAACCCATAGGAATGTAAACAAAATTTATACTTATTATTAAAATCTCTATAAAATATCTGATAATTTGACGTGCATATGTCTAATGGCAAATGGCATTTTTTTTACTTTTTTCATTAGATCTCCGAAACCGCTATACCTGTCTTCATGAAAATTTGATCAATTCATCATATTATCAATACAAGTAAAATGTTTTTTGAATTATTAAAATCGGACGCACCGTTCTCTTAAAAACTGAGTTACCGTTTTCGGCACTTTTTGCCCCGTATCTTCGGAACGGCTAGACCTGCCTTCGCCAAAAACTAATCAGGACGTCTCCACATCAATACGAATCGAATGTTTTTTGAATTATTCAAATCAGTTGATCGGTGTTCCCGAAATCGTCGACGAAAATTTGTATCCGCACACACACGCACACGCACACAAACACACACATACACACACATACATCCATCTTTTCTAAGGTATGCCGAAATATTCAGAAGGTTTTGAAACGTAAAGATATATCAACATTTTTATTTTAGATTTTTTTGCGATTACTGTAACACCCTACGGGAAGTTAATAAATACGTATGTTATCTTACTAAACCTCTCCCATGTGATGTTTTGTGGTTTTATGTCAAACCCTTCACCCTCTCCCGCTTAAAACCTCACGTGATTAATGGACGGGAAGTTAAAATACTGGGAAAACAAAGTTGTACATTTAATAGTTGTCGTAGTTTATCTCAATTGTTCCAAATATATCCTTACTAAAAGTGTTCTCACCCAGATGGCTCAACACTATGTTACCATCGGAATTTACACTAAATACCTAAATCTACTAAATACCTCGGTCGCAAATTCATCTCGTCCCTCTAACCCAGAGCGGCGGCATATTTCAGGTTGGCAAATAAACGTCCCTCCCGCGGAACATTATCATATAGAGGCATTAGGCGCCCAACTCGGGAAATGGCACGCGTGTCAAAGGCAGAGATTTTCTACGTAATGTCATTAAAGGAGACGACATCGTTTAAATGAAAATTGCTTCAGTTATTTTGCGACAAAAGCAACACCAGGGAAACGATAACGACATATATACTTTATGGCGGTAGTAGTTATGTAGTGCTAATGAACTTTTTGATACGGTTGATACAAATTACTATTTGTTGCGCTTCTACAAATTTTGTTCAGATTGGCGTGTTTTGCCCCAAAGAAAAGTTTATGTTCAAAGGGATAATTGGAGAAGTAAATGGCAAACATAAATAATATAGAAATTATTGATGTGTGGTATAAAGCCTCAAAGCGAATTGGTGAAACTTTTCGTTTTATAAGCAAATATATTATTCACATCATTGATATCATACAAGTTTCATTAATTATTACACATGCCCATATATTTTATAATATAAACTTGATATAGACATATCAAAAACATAATATAACTAGTGGTGTATGGCATCTTGCCTTGAGGCAAATTGCTGGAACTTCCCGTACCGTGATGAAAAAATATATTCGAGGAATATCAAATAGATTATTATAAATATTACAGTAGTTATAATAATCTATTTGATATTCTTCGAATATTTTTATATTTTTATATTATATATGTTCACAAAAAACTAAATATACAAAACTTAATCAATCGAATTTAAAATTAAAGACATTGTCTAATTTTTATAAGAATTATATTACCTGAATTACAAAGTTAACACTTTCCACTCGCTCCGGCGGCAAAATACATATAAATTTCGCATTTCACGAGTGGAAAGAGTTAAAATTATTTATTTGAAGTATATTAGTGAGTTATAGAACTTTAGCTAGAATAAAATTAAAAATTGGATTTATTTTCGATAAAAAAAAATTCTTGAAAACTAAAAGAAAAATCAAAATTATTTTCCCAAAAGCAATTGTTTCGTCAACAAAAGCAGAAAGTTTTTTGAATCATTCGAATCGGATGCTTAGTTCTGTCAGAGATTGCCATTTTTTGCACATTTATCTCGGTATCTCCGAAATGGCTGAACCTGGCTTTGCCAAAAACTAATCAGCACATCTTCCCGTTAATAGCAATAGAATATTTTTTGAAGCATTCTAATCGGTTGCCTGGTTTTTGCAAAACCCGAATTTAAAGTTTTCTCACTTATTGTTCCGTATCTCCAAAACGGCTGGACCTGCCTTTGCCAGAAACTAATCAGCACATCTCTCTATCAATAGGAATCGAATGTTTTTGAACCATTAAAATTGTTTGACCCCTGCTCCCGAAAACGTGGCAAAAAATTGTATCCACACATACATACCCACACAAACAATCCATTTTTTCAAAAAAAGTTCAAAAACTTCTGAAACGTAAAAATATGCTTAAAAAATTATCATTTTCGATTTTTGGACGATTATGGGTAAAAATGTTAGATGGAGGACCAATAATAAATGCAGTAAACTTTAGAAAAAAAATTAGTGCAAGTGTTTTAGACTATTTCATTTCAATTGCACAATTGTTAATGAAACAGTTACTGGTTAAGTATTTTCTCCCGTTGCTGGTGTTTTTCTAAGGGAGTAGTATAGTACCTAGTACTACTGTAGTAAATAGGAGTGAGTCGAGTAATAATAACGAGTCAAAGGTTACTGCGGCGTTTGTCTCAAATGGAGTAGAAGTATACTTGAGTAATTCTATGAAACAGTACGAATGGCACAAATGCTACAACTGGCTAAAATGCGAGCTTTTCTCTACTACACAGGGGACTTAATATAACGCTTAATGCCAGAAGGACCATAAAAGACCAGGCCTCCTGCCGGAACAGGGCAATATATATATATATATATATATATATATACATATATATTAGAAATAATCGCCCGCAATTCGTCCAAAATTTTGATTATTTTTCATTTACTAAGGTGATTCCAACAATATTTTTAGCTATTATTTATGATCGTGTGGCCCTTTTCTGAATATTATAACATTTTATTATGTGTTCTCGGGGGCTAAAACTGTTATATGCAAATTGCTCGAATACATCAGAATTGCCAAAAATGTTTTTTATGCAAATCAAGGGAAGAGTTTTATCGCGGATAATAAATATGGATGTATCACTTGCAATAAAAGCACGCATGACTTGACTTTTATTCATTTGAGAGAAAAAAAAAAAGAAAAGCTGAGGAGAAAAGCCAAGTCGAGTAGATGAAATTGCTGGGAAAGGGTAAATGGAGTGTTTTTCATTATGGATGAAACTATTTGAGAAAAAATATATATATACATCAAACAAAGAAAAAACAAAGATTTATTAAATAATCATTAATTCCAAAATTTTTAATTTCGATTTCAAAAACCGTTTTTTTTGCAAAAATTATGGAATTCGAAAACCGGTTTTATAGTGAAAAAAGTCGGTTTTCGCTGTATAAATGGAA